CTTTTAATTCTTGCCTTGGAAAACCGTGGTCCATCTCTGCCCATGATGTTCATGCCACTCATGATTACAGACTCTGTCATTCTCCTCAGTTACTCCTTCCTCATACTCATTATTCTACAAAAGCTTTTCTAATCTCAATACCCTTCTTGAACCTTTTCTAGTTTCAGTATTTTCCCTGTTTTTTGTTGAGATAAAGAGACCACAACTGCTATTCAGTTTTATTCTGTATGTGTTGGTAACTTGGAGCTCTTGACAGCTCCTTTTAAATTTCTTTGTAAATTCTACTTAATCGTGTTATCAGACACAATTCCCACACAGTCAGGAGATATGGGATTATGATACATGATTCTCAAAAAACACAAAATCACTGTTTGGTGGCAGCCAAGAAAAATACATCAAATGGTAGAATTTTTTGGGAAAAGAAATAGAATGTAACAGAAAACATCATGAAACAACAGCATAAACGTGATCACTCGTATCTTAGACATTGTGTAGAGTTCTAGTCTGCTCAAAAAAAGGGTATATTAGAAGGATTCAACAAGGAAGAGTGAACGCATCGAAAGACTTTTGTCAACCCATCAGAGAGGGTTAAGACCCTTCAGGCTAGAAAAGAGCCAGTTTGCTGAGTTAGGGAAAGGGGATGTCTTAGAGGTGTCTGTGAAATGACACGTGGAGAGAGTGTAGGGCTCAACCACTTGCTTTCTGTTCTGACACACCAAGTGTTGTCTGCACCATGTGAAGCGAGTGCATGCTGTCACAGCAAGAAGAGATAGTTATTCATAAAATAATTGATAAAATGAAGCTTCTTACTAGATGACATTGTAGATGAAAAACTTTTATGGGAATTTGAGGGATACTGGACAAGTGTTTCCGAGAACAGCATTCATGGAATGAACCACCTCGGATGCAAAAACAGCTTCCTTAGTAGAAAATGGTTAAAGTCTGTGAGAGTATAGAGTGGGGAGGTATCACATGTATTTGCCTTACCTCAGTCCTTTTGAGGCAGTGGTTTTGGCTGTCTTCAGGGTGGAATGACCAGTATCAATCCTTGAGGACGCAAGAATGACTGGTATCAACGCTTGACCTGAACTAGTACAGCTTTCTTCTTGAACCATTTGCCATGGACATAAACAAAAAGTTATTCAAACTTAATCCTGAAATGGAGCTGTCTCAGATCTGTGGCAGGTTGTCTGCGGACACAGCATTTGTATTCCTGTACATGATAACAAGCTCAAGCTTGAGCAGAGTGCAGTATCTTCTGGCTTTTGAAGTATCAGGGCATGCGTCTGGCCTTTAGTAACCATTCCAGTCCCTCAGATCAGGGCTTGTTTACCTCCAGGCAGGTGGTTGGAGCCCCTTCCAGGTGATTTTCATTATGGTTGCGCACCATTGCCCAGCCTTTCTTGGTGTGTGCTACAGACACCGTAGATGATGAGCTGCTTGTCTCAAAGACTGACTTGGGCAGCTTGGAAGAAATACAAACGGCTACACTTAACTCCATTTCATGCTCTCTGTCTTTAGATCTAAGTTACTCTAGAATAAGATCTTTTCTGAAGTTGCACATGTGCTTTTTATATTGTCGGTAAAAGATCTAAGGTGCATACGCTGTCTTCTTCCTCCCCCTTCCCAGCTATGAACAGTGTGGCTTTCCAGTTGTATTTCTATTCCACGGCCTTTCAGCAGTCTCTCCTTTCCCCTTCAGCTAAGGAACATTTTGCTACAATGAGATGGCATCTTTAGGATGCCACAAAAGAATGAGCAGTGAAAAGTGGCTTGTACACCCAGCAAATGGTATTTCCAAGTTGTGTGGGCATTCAGGGAGCCCTGACTTACAGGTATGGGTTTAGGCTGACGCAGCCTCTTCGGCAGAGAGACATTGGAGTCACCTTTGGTGCAGTCTCTTGGTAAAAGTTCTGAAGTAGCAATTGGATACTTTACCAGGAGAGTATTTTTTGAGGTGACTTTGTAAATGTAGATCCCACCTCCTGCCTGCTTTTACCTGTATGAGAGGAGCTTCCTCTTGAGTAGTGCTGTGGATCTAGAAGGATCTAACCTCTGGAGCAAGCTACGTGTTCTGTCTTTGTGGGGTGAGCAGTGGTGCAAGGGCATGTAGGGCACTTGTCTCAGCTGACCTATGACTGCAGGTTTCCAGACACCTCTGGACAGGGGCACAGTTCCATTTGGGCGTAAGGGCTGTGCTCTGTCTCTGAGAATACTGTTTTTCAGGTGATCATAATTACAGGTGGAACAAATGTACTGGGGACCAAAGACTGTTAATTTTTCCTATAGCATTGATACTTATGTTCCTTCTAACCTAGGGTATTTTTTCCCTCAGTTTTAGAATTTGACTGTATAAGATTAGAGTTCTCATACATGACATCTGGAAACTGTCATTAAATAGGTACAGGATTCTTGTGTAGACAAGGCCTTGGAGTCTCCTGTGCTACTATTATCTCTTTTAATTTATTTTTTCTTTTCTTTGAAGAGCTTTCACTCTGTAGTGATGACATTTGCCTGAACAGTTCATGAGCTAATAAGAGGGATTGAGCTGTGCAGAGGGGAAGGGAATAAGGAGTCTGCAGGCACCTCCACCCCCTTCCTCCTGCCTGCTGCACTGTAGGCCATGTGGTGCAGTTGTAGTCACCTCACTTTTACTGGTTTATGGGTAGATCTGGCCCTTTAGAGACCAGTAGCATCTAAATTTGCCATTTTACTGTATGAACACAGTCCTGCCTGAAATAGTTCCTGTTCCGCTGAATCTGTGCAAGCTTACCCCCTTTTTTCCTCCTTTCCTTTAGGCTAACTTTGACTTCACCATGAGTCTTATTTTCCTAAACTTCGTGCAGTGTTCTTGAGCTGTTCATGTAAACTAAGAATTAATAGTAAAGAAGATCTGTCACTTTGCTACTTTTAAACTTTGCATTCCTATTAACACAAGGGTTTAGTGTAGGTAGAATGGCTGGATCAGCACTGTATGTATTATGAATGCTCTGAATCCCAGGGTATTCCTAAAACACAGCCCTGAACCCTTGTGTGGCTCATGTAGGGGGTCTACATGAGGACAGAGAAAGGACTGCTGGTGAGGGAGCCAGGGCCTGGGGCAAGCACAGATGGGTCAGCTGGAGCCTCAGGGGCCTTGGGAATTAAGAGTGTAAAGGTTCTCTAAGAGCCAGAGGCACTGTGGGTTTCTGTGCTTCTTCCCATCCTCCCCCAAATGTTTCAGGGTTGCTTCTGGACTTGAGAGCAGTGAACTGGAAGGGGTATAGAGGGGCTTTCAAACAGCAGAACTGTCTCCCTTAAAGGATTTACAAGTCTTTTTCACATAAACTCACTTTAATAGTTTTTTGATGTAGTTCTTAAGCACAAGAATTTGTTCATGCTAATGACTTAAATCAGAATATGTGCATTCAGAAAAATATATTGAATTTTGGGAGTATTCTTAATAGATGTAAAATATATTTCTACCATATGTTCTGAGTTACCTCTCCTTGGAACCTCACAGTTAATTACTGCTTAGTTCCTAAGGCTTTAATTTACAAACCAAAAGGAAGGCTATTAAAAAGTAAACTGAAAAATTATTAATATATAAAAGATGTCTATGGGAGTATGCCTTTTTATCTACTGAAACAGTGGGAAACTCTTCATCAGCAATTTTGTCTGCGAGGGTTTCATTTCATGGGCATGGATTTAGTCCTTGCAAATGCCTGTATGGGCTCACTGAAGAGAAAATAAAGATTCCAGCTTTTGACTTAAGAACTGCAACTTTGCATCTGTTTCGGTTTCTTAATGTCAAAGCATAGATGTGTCCTTGCTTAGGGGATAATAGCAAACCAGATTACTACATGTATCAGTCACTTAAAAAAAAGTTGTAAGTTAAGGAGTGATTTTAAGTTTTTAACATGTCCTAATGAAAATTCATTGTTGTATAGGGCCTGAAATGGATCATAGTGTTTTGTATTGTAAGAGCATTGTGTCTAGAAACTGTATTATCTGGCTGAACTTACAGTCATTTTTATAAAAAATACTTTAATACATAATTTGATAATGTATTTATTTTTAAAAATAGGAGGGGGAAATTACGATCTTGGTCTTACTAGGTAGCTTGACTTTGAAATTCTCCTCTTGCTTGAGGCTAACACCATAGGTGGGTTTTTAGGCTCTGAATGATCCCTTGTTTTGCAAGCCTGGCCTGAGAAGCCAGCAAGTCAGTAAGCAATATTCTGGAAAAGCCAAGTGCTTTCCTCTTATCCCATGTAGGTGCGTATGGTGTCACCGGAATGGTAGAGTAACTGTGTGAGTCACCCCACGGTGGCAGGTTAAGGTATCTTTTTCCAGCAAGCAGGGAGAAGCTGTTTTAGGAAACTTCATCTTGAAAGCTCTGCAAGAGTGGAAGGAAGGGTTGACGGGGAGGGGACTGGAGTTCTCATTGCAGTCCAGGGGACAGGGAGAAGAAAAACCCTGAGTGGCTCTACTTGAAATGACTCACATTTACGCACTGTTCAGGTGGTACGTGGTTCTCAGTGGCTTCTGCATAAAGTCAGGCGTACTCCCGTTTCCAGGTTGCTCGTGTCATTGCTCGTGTGCTAGTTCTGAGATTGGGTGCAGAGAAAATGGGTTTCTTCAGAGAAGAATATTTTCCGGTTTCGTCCAGTAGTTTCCATGTGTTGGGTCACTTCTGGCACTGTCGTTCCACGAGGTGGCACTGTCCCTTCTGCAGAGGACACAAACTCTGCTGCATTGCCTGGGGTCAGCAGGGCTCAGGCATTCTGCGCAGCAGAACCCATGTCAAGAGTTCTCTGGAAATGGCTGTACTTTTCCGTTAGTATATACCGTGTCTCTTGATACAAGTTATGTCCAGGTTTTTGCACGCAAAATGCACAAGTTTTCAGTGGAGTAGGGTTAGAAAAACATCTTTATGAGCTTCTTGCCTGCCTTTTTTTTTTTTTTTTTTTAAGTTTCTGGCATTCAGAAGAATCTTTTTATGGCAAGGAAGTTAAAGCCAGGTGATGCTGACCTAGAATGCTGGTTTACTTCATTTTGAGTCAAAATTGTGTAACTTTGAACATGGAGAGGAATGACCAGTAGTTATCGTTATTTCTAGGAGAAAAAGGAATAATTTCTATGGGATTTTTCAAATCCACTAAAGGAGTTTTTTTCTGAAAGGTGATACATACAAAGTATATGGATTCAGGAAACCAAGAACTGTAATGACAACTTCCTTGTAAGAATAAAAGCCAAATCTGTGTTGTACAGAAAGGGAACAGTGTTGCTACTGTTCCTAAATTCTCTGTGGAGACGTTATTTCCGATTGGCCTCTCACTGATTTAAGACCACCTAAGTAGAAGGAATATGTTTTCTTTTGTTAGGCAGTTTTTATTTTTAGCTGCATTGTTGGTAGAATTTGTTTTATCTCAGAAGATTATGCTGTTATTAAAAGCATTCACCATTGAAAAGGTTGATTTAGTGAATTTACTTTTTTCTGTTTGACGTCTAGGAAAATGGATGATGATGACGATGACATTCCTCAGCTTTCATCCCATACGTTGGCTGCCCTCCAGGAGTTCTATTTGGAACAGCAGCAGAGAGAGGGCATGAAGACCTCCCAAGGGTTTAATCAATATTCCATTGGCTCAATAGAAGAAGATTGGGTAAGAAACTATAAACCTCGATGAATGAAGCACAGATGGAGGAGTAGCCTTTACTGAGTTTCTTTTGTGGATGGATAATGAAATTAAATTAAAAAGGGGAACACTCAAGATGTTCCTATTCATGGATGGCAACACTGTAGGGAGATTTGTTTTACTATTTAATCTGGGTATAGTTGTCTCTTCTACGTGTGTGTGGGAGGACAAACTGAAAGTACATGGAGGGGGAATAAAGCTGCTGACAGAAACATCTGTCCCTTCTGGAAATTTTAACCTGAGTTTGGCATGTGAAGGTAGTGAAGACTCCTCCCTGAGACTGAGACAAACACAGTGTAACAAGATCAAGTGATCTTTCCTTTCACTTCATATTTCTCCCTGTGTTTTATTTCTTTGTTTTTGTGGATGGCTGTTTCACTGCTTGTTTTTATTTGTGACAGACTGACTTTTGATTTGTCTCTGGATTGTTTGGTGGTTTTTTTTGCTCTTCCTTTTCCTGATCCCTTCTGATTTAGTAGTTTATCCTTTATTTCTTTCTATACTGTCACTTTTCAAGGTCCTTTTTCTTCTTCTGCTAAAGTAACTCAATTTAAGAGCACATAAGTATTGTGCATCTGCACATGGGGTTTGAAATAGCCTTGTCAGTGGCTTGGATTACCTGGTTTTCCTGATAGTGCCATACATGCTTTGGAAACATGTGGTGTAAACTACCCGGATTACAGAAGTAGAAAGACTGTCAGGAAAACAGTTACTTTTCCAGTATTACAGTTTATGAACTGGGAGGTTGCTGTGGATTTTGGTTTTCTTCAGTTATGACTCACCACACCTCACTGTACATAACACAGTCAGAAGTTTTGATGTTGTTTGTAATTGTGCATTATTTCTCAGCAACTGAGCCAGTTTTGGTACAGTGATGAAACCGCATCATGCCTGGCCAAGGAAGCGGTTGTGGCAGCTGGAGAAGGTGGCAGGTAGGAATTAATAATGGCATTGTAGATTTAACATGTCTTTTGTTTCTACTACATAGAGTATGCAGTTTAATTCATTACTCATTGTACTTCACCTTTGTTCAACTGCAGTATTACAGAACTGCTTTGCTGTTATTTAGTTAATAGTTTATACTGATCTTCCCATTTACCATTTTACTGAATGCTGTAGGCTGTGTCTTGTTAAAAGTTTACTATGAATCTTTTTATTTTTTGAGAAATACAGAGAGCTCTAGAGCATATTAATAACTTGTAATTATTTTCTCTGGTTTTATACAATGTTTCTGTAGAACAGATGCAAAAAGTTGTTTTCTTCCTATTTCTATAAGAAGTAATTTTTAATTTTAAGTTTTCAAGTATATTTTCTTGCTTTTCTGAAACAAGATTTTCTCTGTAGTTAGGCTTAAGGTCTTTGTGCAGCATGGAGGTTGAATAGGTAATAGCTTAAAGTTATTAAAGTAATTAGTTGTTAGAATGGAGAAAGAATAGCTTACATTTTGGGGACTAATGTTTAAAAATGTTTTTCCCAAAGCAGCTATGACGACTGGAGTAGGGGTTTTGTTGCTATTGTTTGCCCTTTAAATCAATATTCTCAGTTATTGTGTCTTTTTCAGGATAGCATGTGTTAGTGCACCGAGTGTGTACCAGAAACTGAAAGAACTGGATGGTAAAGATTTTTCAGTGTGTATTCTTGAGTACGACAGAAGGTTTTCTGTATATGGAGAAGAATTTATCTTCTATGATTACAACCAGCCTTTGAACTTACCTGAAAATCTCCTGCCACGCAGTTTTGACATTGTAGTAGCAGATCCACCCTATCTGTCTGAGGAATGTCTTCAGAAAACTGCAGAGACGATCAAATACTTGACCAAAGGAAAGATACTGCTTTGCACAGGTATAACTAGTCAAAATATTAGGTCCCCATAAGGATCTTTTTCTCTCTCTCAAAAGACAAACTCACTCATGTGAGAGAAATACTAACTCTGTAATATTAAATTATCATTAAGGGGCAGTATGTGTCCTAAGCTTTATATTTGAATACTTGAGTTCAAACTTTGTTTTAAACTGGAGGAAATGGTTTTTAATAGGACTTTTGAAAGTCAGGTTTTTTTCTTACAGCATTATGAGTTTTACTGAATTTTGGAAGAATTATAAGATCATCTTGCAAAGTTCCAGAAATACTTTTTCTCTTGTAAGAAGACCACTCTCTGTAATTGGAATGATTGAAGTCGGAGTATGGCAAACATAGGTGCAACTTACTGTTGGTATCATAGGCACTGAAATACAACAGGAGGAATTAAAAACCAGTGATAAAAGCAGTGAAACTAGATAACTAGATAATTGTACTTGCAGGTCCTTCTTTATGAAAATGCACTTGCTGACTTAAGAAGTGATGTGTATCTGCCTTAGTCGTGTCATTTCCTAAACTGTATTGTTATTACAAGACATCTGAAGACATCCAGGAAACTTTTGCAAAAAGCAAAGGACAAAAGCCCTTTTTACATACAGCTTGGGGGAAGTCAACCAAGCAGGCAAAGTAAATAAAAAATTAAAACAAAACGTGGCCATAGAAAGTCTACTTCTTGGCTTAATTGCTCATAGCAGTCACTCACAAGGGTGGTTCTGCCTAAAATGGGTAGGTGGTCCTTCAGTTTACAAAGTTTGAGAAATACTGTTCAAGAAGTGATTTCTCAGTGCATAGCTGTGGTTTATTTAAGTGGAAGAGTATATGTAATCTGTTTGCATTTCCCATGGCTCCCTACCATTTAACTTGCTACATACTTGGCATGTAGCAAGAAGACTGAGTTCGAGTTTCTTTTCTGTAAAAAGGGCACTGATACCCTCTACCTATTTTTATGAAAGTTTTTGGACATTCGTTTCCTTGGGGTGTCTTCCATTCTTTTAGATTTATTTTAAATTTCTCAATAGATTCAGTTGTTAAGGAGGGCTGACAATGTAGCTACTTTAAGCCTTCCTTCCGTAAAAAAAAAAACAGGCTCTGTTATATATGAATTTGTGAGGAGCTACTAAAAAAGTCCAAACATTCTGTTACTGTTTTTCTTATTGAATGCCAATTATTTTTGCTGCAGGTGCCATCATGGAGGAACAGGCAGCAAAGCATCTTGGTGTGAAGATGTGCAAGTTTATTCCCAAACACTTGCGAAATTTAGCCAATGAATTTCGATGTTATGTGAACTATGCTTCTGGACTGGACTGATTCTCATAAGATCTACAACTTCTTCAGTCAAGCTGCTTTCTGGTTTTTATCAGTGACTCCACAATTCTCAGTGCTGAAATATTTAGCTCTGAGTACTATTTCCTGGGCTAGCTTTAATCAACATGTGTTAGCCTCTCTCTTTTAAATGAGTAAGCATTTGCAGTTACTGTGTTTGTATTTTACCTATTAGGTAAATGTGGACCAAACAATGCAGGGGCTGGATAACAGGAACTTCTCTGTTTGAATTTAATTCTAACTGGTAACTTTTACCATTCAGAGACCTTTTTGAAGTGATTTTTGCTTATAACAACACATAGGTGCTTGCTTTGCAGACATCAGAATTGTCATTGCAAAAGAACTTGATACTTCTGTAGTAATGTTAGTCCCTTAAATCTTGAATCATAGCAGTTCTGATTAAATATATTGCCTGCTTTTTAATAGATTTCAATATCAAACTAAAGATGATTTACAGGTATATCAAGTTTATAGTTACAAAAACAGTTTGTTTTTTTCCAGTTGCCAGTTTTCTTTATCTCCTGTTCCACAGACAACAGCAGAGCAGTAGAAATTGTTGAATTTCTTAGAAATTGTTGAATCTTAAAAGGCCACTGAGGAATAACGTAATGTATTGATAAACTCCCACTGTTTCAAATGTTAGATTTTATATACAAGGTTTGGACTATATTTCAATCAAAATAGATCATACATTAGAAAAATTTTACTTTGGGATAGTAGACATTTTTGATAACTGGGAATTTCTAAAGTTAGTTTTGACTAACTACACTACTAATGTATTTTTGGGTGAAAGTTGGTTCATAAATTCCAAGGCACTCAACAGTTTATAATCTATAAATACACTCTACAAAACACAAGTAATTGTCTTTATATGCCATATTGTGTAAAAGGCTACCAGAAATGCTGCATCTACAAAATGTATCACCTAAAATGAAGTATTGGGAAATTTATTTTGCAGTGGGAATAAACCTTATTAAGCTTGTGAGACGAGATCTTTTTATAAGGTAGAGATAACACTCATGTTTCTGTGCATTCCTGCTGTTTACATGCAGATTTTCCCATCTGGTTGAGTAAACAACTGAGGAGGAATCATGTAGATAGGATATAATCCTTTCTCAGTGCTCAGAGTATCGTGCTGCCTGAGCTGGACACAACAGTGGTTCATAAATAACCATCCAAGCCACTGTAGCTCTCTTCTCCATTTTCCAAGAAATCTGTTTATTTCCAGGAGGCTTCACCATCACTTTTATGTGGCCAGTTTAAAAAAAAAAGCAAACCAAAGTGTTAATTGCAGGGTTATTGGCACAAGTCTGTACTTCACAATTGTAAACTGATTTATTACCAAGCAGATGGAGACAATGAAATAACTCATGAAACTTTGTTTATAACTCCATGGAGGCTTCAAGGGGGACAGGTATGATTGTCAGAAGGGAGGATATTCTTCCCCTGCCATCCACCTAAATTAGAATGTGCTGTTCAAATCGAAGCTTCACCGATATTACTGCTTTGCTATTAATTCCTTCAGTTGTTTGCTTTATTTTGGTAAATGTGTGTTGCTGGGCTCTCTACAGCAAAATCAAAAGACAACTTTGCTAGCTTCATCAGAGACCTTTCTTAAAAAAAAATAAAACTGCACCATTCAGTTATACCAAGAAATTCACTTCCAAGAAAATAACTGCTGCTTCTCACACGTAGGTCAGACAGCTTTGAAAAGAGGCACTGTGAAGATGCACAGTTATGAAAATGAGAGTACATATAAATCTGTGCAGATGCACTCAACAGAGCAGCCCATTGTCCACCAAATTCCCTTTTAAAAACCTGATGAGTGCAGGCAGCTGCCCAAGCAGAGCTTGACTGGTGGCTTTTACAGACTTCATCAGTGATGGAAGGTAAGCTGTTTTTGTCCTACATGATTCCAAGGCAGAAGCTATTTCTGAGAAGGTACAAGTCACAAAAATTCATAGTGAATTTGTGCTTTGTGCCATCGTGGTAACATTAAGAAATATTATGTGACAACAAAATCTCTCTTCTGTAATAGGATTATGAATAAAAACATCAGTGTCAAGTAGTGATTGATTTTCCTTACTGCTGATGTCTCATGGATGGACTTTCTGTTGGAGCAGACTGGTGGAGTGTTAGCACCATGCTGCTTTTCCAGGGGCATTTATGACTACAGAGTCCTGTGCTACAGCCTCTTATCTGCAGTAACAGGTACTGTGCAGGAGTAGGACATCTCAGTGCCCTGCTGCTGGTATAGCTGGGACACTTGGCAGAGAAAATGTGGGGGCTTGTTCACAGGCTGGTGGCCGTGGGTGAATAGAATACACTGCAGCTGCCTGCACCTCACCCCAGATGAGAAATGAACTGTTTCTGGAAATGCAGTTGCATGAAGTCCAAGGTACTGCTGCCAATAAGTTCTGCACTTCTGTTAAAAATATCACCCTCGGCTTGGTGTTGCAAAGGTAACCTGTCTCTGCCACACAATTGCTTCCACCCCTCTGCCCGTGCCCCTCTGGACCAGAGCAACTGGGAGGTATCTCTGATGGTTGGTTCGGTCACTCTGCCTTTGTTGCCTGGGAGCAGCCCCAGTGCCATGCACTGAGATGGGAAACAGGGCAGCTGGAAACAGGTTGCAGAAGCCCCTCGTCAGCCGCTGTCAGAGCTGTGCTGCTGCTCTGGGTCTGCTCATGTTCTGCAGCCTCCTTAGATGGGAGTACCGCAAAACCAAGTGGTAGCTCGTGCCACCAAAACACGTGGGATTGACTGGATCTCCATTGTGCCCTAGTCCAGGTAGTTATGGCTGTTCCCTAATCCCACGGAGATTAATGGGGTTAATGCTTTGTGACCACATTACAGCCTTTTTCCCTTTTCCCCTTGTGGCTTTCGTGTTCATGTTCCCCCATGCAATTCCATGTACACTTGCAGCTGTAGATCTCTACCTATTCAGACAAACATCTTCAGGTAATGACTGGAAAGTAAACCAAAACTAGCATCTCGGGCTTTTCTCAACCTTCCTGAATGACAGGAATTTTCCAACCTATCTTAAGCGATACTACAGAGAAGAAAATAATGTCTTTACCAAGGATATTGTTCTGTGTTTTGTGGCTTCTAATATATTCCAGGGACAACCTTGTTGAAGGAAAAGATTTTCCTGGCACAACAAAAAATTTTCTCAAATCAGCTGCAGCTGCCAGATAGTTCCAGCTTTGAATTGTTTGCATTTATTGGGGCTGGAGTTGGTTCAATGAGGCATTTCATGTCTGCCTTCTGTCAACAGTTTGTGAAACCTTGAAGCAACTCCAATGAACCCTCCCTCCCCCATGCAAATTAAAGGCAAGGCTGCAGCAGCTGTAACCAGAGGGCTAGAAGCTGGAAAATATCACACCACATTTGAAGTGAAACTGATATAAATCCATGATGTGATGACCTCGTTAAAAAAAAAAAAAAACAATTCCAAACAAATGCAAACTACATTTAATACTCAACCTTTTCAACATGAGTAATGTGGAGAGAAAGAATAGATGGAAGGGTATTTTGAAGATCGACAAATGTTTGCGTAGCTAATAGTTCTTAATGTTAAGTATTAACAAACAGTTGTTCACTAACAAACTATCAAACAGTTGCTCATGCTAAAACATAAACACGGATTTTAAGAGACACTGGGAAGCAAATTGGCTCAGCTAAAAAGTCTGTCACAGAAGAGGGTAAAGATTAAAAAAGGAAAACAGGCTTCTGAACAAGATAACATGAAGATGCTTGTAACCATGGGAAGCTTTCTGCACTTGTTGCAGTGTGACGAGAAGGAGGTTGCCAACATACTCATTCTATTGATCCACTGAGATTTTGCAGTTCTGTAGTACTTTCAGTCATCCAATTTCTGAAGCTCTACGTAAGCTAAAGCATCTGTTTTACTGGATTGAAGAAACTGATTATGTTCCATTTACCTAATCTTGGTTTGCAACTCCCAGGAATTCCCAGAACATGCTCTAGTTACTTGAAAACCTCAAAATTATTCCAATAACTAATGCCTGCAGGACAAGAGTTGCAACAAAAGATTTTTTTTTTTCCTCCACATCATGCAAATATATCCATGTGCTCTAATAACTAATTTGTTGCAGACAGATTTGTATAAGAAAAGTGTGTGGGCAGACAGATGAGTTCTGCTGGAGGGCAGTGTTTAGCCAGAGTTTTACCTGGTAGCCCCTCTGGGTATTTACTACATGTTAAATGCTGCGTGGTTTGACATTTTGTTGTTGTTGTTTGGGGTCATTTTACTGCCTTTTATGATGAAGACTTTGCTTTCTATGCTGTGAAGTCTCAAGGTCCATCTTCACCCTGCCTGAAGTGTGTGTGGAAAAAAAACCCACAATGCAGTAGTGAAACCGTAAGATGCCAGGCTGCTGAAACATCATCCAATGCAGTGTTTCTCCAGTTTTGTGGGTCTGTCTCCCTTTTGAGCCCCTCTGATTATCATTTCCCTCTGCTCAGAGGGTAAGAAGTTCTTCCACATTAGGAGGAAGGAAAAGTGGTTGTAACTGCTGCAAGTATTTACATTCTCTGGGGAACAGGTAACTACCTCTAATTGCTGGCAGCAGCTAGGCAATTAGCTGTTCTCTGAGTAGTATAAACACTTTATGACCTTGTTTGAACTCTCCTTTGAGGATTCCCTTGAGATAGAAGCATCACAATTTGAGGAAACACAGATCTAAAGACAAGTAGAATTGAGGAGAAGCATCTGCACAAAAGACACAGTTACAAACTTCAATCTGACATCATAAAGGGAATCTTTTATTCTTTAAGCTATTTTAGGCTTTGTACGAAGTTACATAAATTGCACTGAAAAAATACTGTTATGCTAGACTGAGTCATAGAGAGCACAGTCCATAATTGTGCACCAAGATAAGTAGTTGTTGTATGACTTTCATTCTCTGTTTAACTTGTTAATTCTGGTTAGCTCATAGTCTTTCCATTCTTCATCCAACAACACTCCAAAGTGTGTGTTTATGTAGTGTAGGGACTTTCTCCACTATGAATTAAAGGCCAGTTTTGAGATTCTTGATGTGGCAAATGCATTGCTGCATAGGATGTTTATTCTGTAAAAATATTGCAGTCATGCTCCTTCAACTGTAAAAGATAACTCTGCTGTGCATTCAGAGGTTGATCAGTTTTGGCGAGTGTGGCCCTCTGAGGAATTATGTTTGTGCAAGGCATGCCTGGTTATTCCTGATTCTCGTTCACTACACTGAGTCAACATTCAGTCTCTTGTTCTGGAAATGCAAATTTTTGTTTATCCAGGGTTTCTGCTTAGGGCTTGCCATCAAGTTCCATCAGCACTGAGCTGCACAGATGGAAGATGGTGCTTCCATGGACTAGCAGCTCTTGCAGGTGATTGTTACGTGTGGCACAGGGAAAACTGAGTAACAGTAATTGTATAAATTGTTTGGACTGGGACTCACTTCAATAAACTTCTCGTAGCATCTAGAAGTTAAGACCTAGCCTGCTTACTCACCTGCAGTGTACTTGAGATGGAGCCTATCCTCTGTACTTATTTTTTAGTGGGGAATCTCCTCTCCTAACACAAAAAAGGTTTTGGCCTTTCAACTGTACAGATACAGTTTTATCACAGGAAACAGTTAAGCAGTTAGTGATGGATGAAATCTAATACAGAATTCTTGGGACCCAAAGTGTGTTTTTTCTAACTGATATTTTCTGTGTAATTAGATTTAGTCCACATCAGAAAAGTCTGCTGCAGTTTTACAATATTCTAGCATGTTTTTTCTCAACACTTTTGTACCCTTAGCAATTTGGCAAGTTTAAAAATAGCAAACACATAGAATATTGTTTCATTAATAACTCTAACTCAGCAAAGTTTTCCTTACTGTAGTGTTTAAATAGCCAAAGATGTAACAGCCAAGAACACTGCTTGGAGTTTATGCAATGTAAAGGAAGGCTCTCCCAGCCTGAGAAATTATCCTTTTAACTGCTGATTTGGCACATGTCCAGCAGCTATGTGATTTTTATTTAAGGGTACTTAAGAGTATAAGAGATTCTTTAAAAATATCTACAACCAGCAGCCTGCTATAATAATAGTTAACATGTCTTACAATTGCATCATCATCTAAAATTTACTGTGAATAAGCAAGGATAAAATGTTCTGCTCTAAGAAAAAGAAAAAAGGCAACTTTGGAATTTGCAACAATGAACTCAACAAGTTCACTAAACAAGTGTACATGAACTAAAGAAGTTCTTCATACAAATCACCATCTCTAATGATCTCAGTGACTGGACAAAACTTTCCATCTTATAACTGAAATAACTGTAAGCAGAAAAAGAGGGCAAGTCAATGTGTTTGCTGCTGTGTCACGGTTTCCTGAGGTGGTGAAATGTGAAGGTGAGGCCAGGACTGTAACACGATTCCTAATATGTTCTTCATTCTGATGAGGGCTTGTTCTGGCTCACCAGCAGCTTCACCTCTTGCTTATCTATGCTGGAATTTACGCTTTCAGCCTCCTTTTCTGGCTCAGGTACACAGGTGCAGCCCACTGGGATGGTGATGTAATCCTCTGTGTAGACGTAGCGGCCCCCGGCACACGAGGACGTGCGGCGCAGGATGACGGTCGGCATGTACACGGGGGTGCTGCGGAAGTGGAAATTCTCCTCCCCAAAGATCCCCATGAGGCAGCCTTTGCACAGACAGTACGCTTCAGGGATGTATTTGGGATATCTTGTGGGATCATAGGAAATTCTATAGGAAAGCAAATAAAGATTCGTTAGTACCTCTAAAAATAGATATATTCCTTTGGAGTTATATAATGTTATTTATTATTATTATTTAATTATAATAATTATATCATGTTTTTGACGGGGAAAATAGCTGTGGCTATTGGTGTCTGGCTTCTTATTTGTAAAGTGTAAAGAAAAAACCATGCACAACTAACAGAACTGATCAGGTCCTACAGTGCACACGGAAGTATGAAGCATTTGGCTTTCTGAATTGTGAGATTCAGGGGTTTAAGAAGAATAAGTTTTGTGGTTTGGACTGAATGGGTAAATAGAGCAATAAAAAGGACACTTGGGCATTTGAT